TATGTGTGTGTGTGTGTGTGTGTGTATTTGTGTGTGTTTATGTGTGTGTGTGTGTGTGTGTGTGTGTTTCCACGTCTTTGTTTGTTGATGTATAAGTGATATATACAATATCATCCTCACCTGGTAGTTTGTAAGTTTGACCGATTTCGCAGCGCTTAGTTTTTCTCGGAGCCAATCTCGTCCGACAAATGTAACATCTGTGCCAGGGGTGGCGGCAGCAAAATAGCTAATCCCGGTGTACATACCTATTAGGCCTGCGCCCACAATGGATACTTTCGGCATTTTTGGTGCTACTAAACTACTTAAAAGATGCATCTAATAGGCGGTGGTTGTGTGAATAATTATCTATAACTATGTATACGCGCAAACGAAAAAAACTTAAATTGCGATACCAATGACAATGACGGAGAAGTTATATATTGTTATATGATCCGTTCTGTAGCTGTCAGCCTGTCACCTGTGGTCTGTGACCCGTGGCCGTGGGTGTACGTTTATAAAATTATAAAGTATGTTTACATATCCTCTCGAGATTCCAAATATGGAGATAAATATGACGTCGTTTATATACTCATCATGCAATATATATATATAGAGCAGACGACACATTCTTTTAGCCCCTAAATAAAAGGTCGAAGGGGCTATGAATTTTGTTGAGAAAAAAACATAAATATTACAAATTTCTGAGGCTCTGCTTTTTCTTTCAACAAAAGCGACTTACTTTTTTTTTAAAGTACAAAAGTATATTTGTAAACACTATTTACATTGGCGTTTCATATTTCCATGTTTACTAAACCACAAATAATAGGTACGTACACACTAGCTTTATTTTGTGGTATGTAGGTTCCATTCCGCGAGGCCAGAGTGGCAGATGGTGTATGACTTTACCTAATTATGTATTGATCTCCAACTCCAAGGCTCCACGGCCCCACCATTCCATACTATAGAGAATAGAGTCGGGTAGAAGTCGGAGAGCAGGTGTTCCTAATAGAGAAGGTCGTTTCGATAAGTAGTGGGTATACAACTATACATAGAACGTCCAGCTTGAGATAAATACACTTCGGAGGATACTGTAGTCGACCACAGCCAGGAGAATGGTGACTGGCTGTTGACTGACTGTTAACAGTTTTGAGTCATTGTATGTAATAACTAGTAAAATATGCGGTTTGGCAGAATTTGTATTTTTTTTTCTTGCATTTTAAAAATATATATTCGATTCGGTGTTATCAATTGGTTCAAAGTTTCGCAACCGAGGATGCTATTGGCCTTCGGAGATTAATGAAGAAAGTTCACGCTTTTTTAAAAAAGCGTGAATTTTTTTTTCATTAGTCTCCGATTGCACAGCAGTACATATGCTACCTGTAAACTGTTGTTGTATTTACATAATATGTAAATACAACAAGAGTTTACAGGTAGTATACTGCTGTGCAAATTTACCTGTGATTTGAATACAATGCTACATATGTAATTATATTGCAAACTGGTCTTACATTGATATCAAAGACTTTGTAAATAATGATTTTCGAACAAGAGGTTGTCATTTACTAAGCTCGCCATAACTAATATATGGCTAAGTAAGCGTATATTGTAGCAACACAGCACACACGATGTTGCAACACTTCAACCCACGCGACCAATTCAAGTTTCTTTGGGCAGCGATAGTACTCCTCTGTACATTCACGACGGTCATGTATAGTGGGAAAGGGGTGCGCACAATACCTAGCGAGAACACCGTAACCACAATAGATGTGGTAACAACAGACACGGCCTGTGCTGAGCACAAGCACAACGCACTGACAGACACAAAGAAGTACAGGCAACTCGTCACCCAATCCACCAGTGCACGTGTATGTCCCTGTTGCGGATGGGAAGGGGCACTGTATGGAAACTTTGGACTGTCACACTTTGACGATAGGCAATGCCCACGCTGTCAGGCATTAGAGCGACATCGAACGATGTGCGCCATGGCGGCTCGTCGAAAGGACTTGTTCCAACCTAAAACATCAAAGATCAGTAGAGTGTTATACTTTGGCGGGTACCGCAATTCGAGATCGAAGGCTGTTTGTCGATTTGATTGCCGTCGTAGATATCTCTATTTTTGATTTTTAAAATCATTTTGGGAGTTTGTTTACGCTGCGATTTCAAATATACAGTGAGTGATTTTTTTCGAGGCTTATACTCTGTTGTAGTTGTGTATATTCAGCTCACTCTTGAATATGACCTTAAATCTTAGGTGATATCGAAGTATTTAGTTGTATATAACTCGTGAAGAATGATAAAACAAACAGGCGGTAAAATAGATGCCCATTGAAGTTAGATACAAATTGCGAGACATACAAACGTAAGCGTGGAAGGACATTTAGAAAAGGTGATGATGCACAAAAATATTTGCACAGCTAACCTGTCTGTTTTGTATCGTAAATGTACAAGATTGCCGAAGCAGTAACACACAATAAATACCTTTTTTAGGAGGTTTTATCGTAAATGTACTAGATTGTCGAAATAGTAACACACAAAAATACCTTGTCCTATCAGCCGCCCCATCAAAGGGAATAGGTACTAAAGAGACATAGTCATCGTCACATCCACATCTAACACCCTCTACACAGCAGCATACATATATACACACAACACAAGCTCGTTTGTCAGTTCTAAAATTCTTTTATCTCATCGACACATGCACGGTAAGTTCTTTAAAAGTTTGCTAGAGTCTGTCGTTGAGGATAGCCATACCGATGGACTCACGACTACTTCCGGTACAAATTGTAAAACGCAAACCGTTTTTAATGCATCGGTAGAATCTGCCTTCGCTAACCGACACATAACAGATTCCTGGGTTGAACACATATCCTAAGTGCCCGTTCAATACTAAGCTTCGTATAGTATACTGGTAGACCCCCCACTACAACAAATGCGTCTCTGTGACTGTTCCCTAACACATTTGGTGTCAACTTTCTTTCGCATCTGCAGGATAAGATTATTGCCGGAGGAGAGGTACTCTATGTAGACTTAGACGATCTGCGTATCCCCAACGGCTTTGCACACGGCGTGATCATACTACACGTGCTCGAACACATCGCCAACCAAGAGAGGGCCCTAACCAACCTCTACAACGTGCTGCACCCCAGAGGGTGGTTGTACTACAAGGTGCGTAGGGGTTGGAGAAGCACAAGGACTGTACACACGCCAAGAGCGATCAGGAGAGACACAACTGTTCGGGTCAGAGGGACCATATGTATCTGCTGAGCTGCTCACAGTTTGAACAACAGATGGCGGCCGCTGGCTTCCGTTGTGAGGGCCTGACTGAAAGTTTGGACTTGACCGATGACGAGAGGACAAAGATAGTGCCTTTGGGATACGAGTTTTTCAAACCGTACCTTTCATGCCGATGCTTTGCTTCAAGTAGAACTCATCGAAGAGTCAGAATGTCAAGAACACTTTGGTATCGAAGCTCAATACGGAACATGGACTATATTGTATGGAAGTTCGATACCAACACACGAATCATACTCAGCAAGGTGTTGGTTGTCAAAAAATATGACCTGGGAACTATGTGAGAAAACTGCAATGTATGGCGTCAATTGGAACGGACTTCATCTTTCGCACCCAAGATTTAGTCATCATACACAATCTTTAGCAGCACAAAATAATATATCATACGTATAGTATACTCTTTTGGAGAGCGTTTCTCAGTCAGCCATATATGCATGAGCTTGGGATATGTGATTTTATATTATATATATATATATCTATATATAGTGTGAGAACATCAATGCACGGCTTTAAATAGAACCGATATCATCATTCGTATTCAAGATTCGGCTATTATACACAGTCGTTAGTAGCACCAAATGCTATACCATACGTATACTCCCTTGGAGAGCATTTCTCATTCCGCTATACATGCACGAGCCTGGGAGTGTGCGGTTATATATATA